TATACAATTACCCATCGGTCTAGCATGTCACGGAACACATCGTTGATGAAAGATTGGAACACTGAGGGACTGTTGGACAGGCCGAATGGCATAACTGAGTATTCATAGTGGCCTGTGGAAGTAGAGAATGCCGTCTTCCATTCATCTCCCTCCTTGATTCGGATCAAATTATAGGCACTACGTAGGTCTAGATTAGTGAATTATTTGGCCTGACGGAGCTGCTCAAGGGCGGAAGGAACTAGAGGTAAGGGGTACCTGAACTTGACAGTTATATCATTGAGTCCGCGGTAATCAATACAGGGTCACTTGTGACAGGTGTAGCTAGTAAAACCCCTAACTCCAACAAACGAGTGTACCGCGAGTCGCGACCAAACTGTTTTAATGGCTCATTAGTGGAATTATCAAACGTGCTCATCTAAACGCTCCTTTCTCCCATATAGAGTCGAAAAGTCAGCTTATTTCAAGAGAAATTGGCTGATTCCAAATGTTTCTCTCTCTTTCATTCTAGTGAAACGGTTATCCGATGAAGAGTCCGATTCATTCTACTGATTCATTTTTACTGATTCGTTCTCGCTTGGCGGTTCAACTTCATATGTGTGACGTAATCGATAAATAGCAGATGGCATTTCATTTGGTCTCTGGTGTTTGTTTGTTTGTTTGTTTGTTTGTTTGTGTAGTTTTTACAGCCTATTATTATTATTATTAATAATAAAATTACTTGCAAAATCTGTTTGAAAAATGTATTTAAAAGTGCTGAAATTTAAAGTGAATTGGTTTATAGCCTAGGCTACATATACAGTAACCAAATGAAAATCTAGATTCAATGTTCTGTTCAGCACTGCTATCATGGGAAACGTTTTACACATTGCCTATACATTAGCATACATTTCATGCATTTTCACACAAAAAATGGGTCTATAGGACAAAATAGCACTATAAAACATAAGAACTATTAAAAAAACACACCAAAAAAAAAAAAACTTGATTAACATTTAAATGACATTCAAATGAATAGCCTAAATAAAAAAACGTCATAAAACTATTAACTATTAAATGTTTTTTAAAATCTGTTTAAAAAAGAAAGGGTCATTTCCTTCCAAACTCAGCAGGCCCACGTAGGCATTGAAAGCTCATAATGTTATTGTAAGTTGCAATTTAAACTGCACTGAAAATTTGCATATATTGTAAGATATGAACTGCAATTAGTGCTTCATAAATAAATATGTAGCAATTAAACAGCCAAAATGGTCAATCCACCTCCGCATATTGTTATTAAGATAAGTTAAACCTGCAGTCTACATCCAGAAATAAATCATAATACAGCTAATAACCTGTGTCAAGCATCAGTAATGAAGAAGCAGTAGAGTAAACTACCACAAAATTCCTTGTTGCTGGGACCTATTTTTAAAATAGAAACCTCACTCATTTTTTAAACTACATTATTAATATAGGGTTTAAAAGGCAAACTGTCATCTAGAATATTACCTAAATATTTAAAGTTGGGCAAAAAGTGAACTGTATTGAGCACAGCAGGAGCCCATTAAATATTCTGGGTCCCTCTGTCTACTATTTGATGAAACGCTCAAAGCTTTGAGTATTGTGACTGATGCGCTCATGTCTCCCAGCTGCAGAGCAGTGCTGAAACACAGACGGTGTGATCTACGTCTTCTGCGCTGCTCTGCTGAGCTCTTTGTTTTGATAGACTGTCTGAATTGGCCACCGTGGTGCTGATGATCAATGTCGACTCTCAGAGGTCAGGGAGGCAGAGATTCACTCTGTCTCTTCTTAGCTAATGAGGTGGAGTGCCTTAAACAGATCCGAAAGCAGTTTATCAAGTCTTGTGCTTAAAGGCTAAAAAAAAAAAGTTAATTGTGGTAGTAACACTGTATCTTTTAAGTCCGTTTGAGTAACATGTAATATGGTATGTATGGTATTACACATGCATATACATATCAAAGTTATTCTTTATGCACCAAGAGCTTGTAACACTCCAAAGAGAAAGGAAAAATTTAAATCGCAGCATATGACCCCTTTAAGATCTTCTAAGACCCAGACAAAAAAATCAACCCTTCGATGTCAAAATCCAAGTCAGTTTAAACAGATGAAGAAAGACAATAGAACAATTTGGATTAATTGGCAGGTTCATTTTCAGATTATAACAATAAATATACATGATACTCATAAGATCCTTCATAGAATACCATGGTATAAATACAGCATGACTTCCAAAACGTTATGTAAAAGTGCCATGGTACTTTTTTTTGGAGCTACTGAAGTGTGAAGTCAAAGAATGGCAGAAATATCTAGTAAGCTAGACAAAGAGAAAAAAGAAAAAAAATGATGGAAAGAACAAAAGAAAAAATGAGATGTGAAGTTTGTTCATCTGTGTTTGACATACACGGCAGGACAGAATAGTGTGACACGTCTGTGCTTTTTTTCAACTTCATAGCAGACATCTCTGACCCACATGAACCCAAAATCAGACTTAAAAGAATAGAGACTCAAACACAAGCTTTTTAGTCCAACAATATGCCTCCAACAGACTATTGAACAGCACAAAGATTATAGCACCTATCTGTCAATGTATATGTGGTGCTGTGGAAGATTTATCTTTGATACAGTGCCCAAAAAAGTATATTTGGACACTTAAGCCACACTTAAAAATATTATTGCATTAGATTAATTATTCAAACTGTTTTCTATTTTAATATTATAAAATGTTATTTATTCCGGTGATGTCAAAGCTGAATTTTTAGCAGTCATTACTCTAGTCTCCAGTATCACATGATCCTTCATTCTAATATGATAATTTGATGCTAATGAAATTACCTATTATTATCAATATTGCATGTTATTTTCAATATCGTGTGTTTTTTGTATTTTGTTATTTAATACAACGATATTCATAACTGCGTGTGTAAAAATAAATAAATAAATTGGGGGCATTGGGCATTGCATTACCTAGTATTACCACGGTGTGGCAGTCGTGTTCTTTTCCTAATTTAACAAGACGACAAGGAGTACTTTACCACTAGGTGGAGCCATAGCGTTAGAATTTATGATTCTCTGCTATTTCCGATGTCCCGCACACAGAGAACGTGGACGTGCAGAGCAGACCTTGTTGTAAGATAAAAGATAACAACAGCCTTGGCTGAAGGACTCTGATTCACCACTGAGTTATCCCAAGGACAGAAAGAAAGGAAATTTGATATATCGACAAACAATGAATGAGTGAGTGAGAGAGAGAGAGAGAGAGAGAGACAGAGAGAGAGAGAGAGAGAGAGATGAATCTGCGAAAACCTACAAAACCTAAACCCCTTCTTAGATATTTTGACCAAAATGAACAAACTTAGTTCGTCTGAGGCATCTAACAGAGAAAACAAATATTATTTACATCAAAATAGAAGTCCTGTTTATTATTATTATTATTATTATAAAAATATGAATCGTCAGCAAATACTCAGAAGAGATTATGACAGTTTTGCTTACATTTTTAACTCGTCTTTATAGAAAAATATGCTTCTTTATGGTATTGGGTGTTGTGGTTGACAGTTTTTATATTAAAGTGGAAAGTATCTAGAATTTGCACTAAATTTATGCTTGTGATAACAATCAAAGTCCATGTGGATGTATTAAAACTAAAGGCTCTTTGATTCGTAGAAACTGAACGCTTGAAATGTAGTGCAAATATGCTTTTCACTCAGTTAAACTCTATAACATCTACATGTTTTCATCTGCAAGAGAATGTGACATAAAACCTCCAAACCACTGACTTCATATATAATTGATCTTATAATTATTTTAGTAACATTTCATATTCACAGATGTGAGCTTCAGTAACTCTTTTTTCTGTGGTTCTTTGAGAAATTGGACATTATAAAGCTACCAGCCAAGTGACTGAGTTCAGTGCTTCAACAGACCTGCATTAAACAGAAGTATAAACAAGTATCTTTGAAAGAAAAATTTCTATGTGTCTAACAGATTACATATTATTATGTATCAGTTCGATTTCTAACAAATACAAACTTTTTGACAAACTCAAAAAACAGCTAATTCAAAGTCAGCCTTCATCTTGAAGGTCCTCATTCTATATTTTACCAACGAGTTCAACAAGGTCACACAGAGTCTGATGAGTTTTTTAGTTTTAGGTAAATTTGTGTATCATCTTATATTATACAAACATTATATGTCAACCAGAAAAACAAAATAGCTACTCCCACATGAGAAAAATACTATAGTAATTTATAGTAAATACTATAGTGTTTTTTGAACCATACTATAGTAAAGTGTATATTATACTGTATATATTATAGTATTTACAACACTTTGTTAATTAATGCTACAGCATAGTGAACTGATAAACTGATACTGTAGTATACTTTAGTTTAAAAAACTGTAGTGTACTGTAGTATAATATACCCTATAGTTGTAGAAAACTTGGTACAGTATTGGGTAAAGTAATTTGTTTATATTACTATAGTTGTTATATTACCACAGCATCTATAGAATTACCACAACAAATTAATTCAAGAACTTTACTATATTATGGTTCATAAACACTAGTAGCTATTTACTATAAATTACTATAGTATTTTTCATGTGGGCTGTTATATTAATAATATGTTAAGATAGCCTATTTATGTCTGACTGAGGTGCCAATCGCCATTCGTCAATATTTACAATAAATAGCAGTTATTTTTTTTTGCATTTGCAGTTCTGTCGTCTGTATGCCCTAAGAAGAAGAAGAAGAAAATGTATTAAATGTTAGCCTATTATTATGCACAGCTTTTACAGTCTTAATAGCCTAAAACGTCAGCTAGGCTAATAATAATATGAATAATATATTTTCACTCGTGTTTCTTATGTTGACATTTTGTTCCAAACATGTCTTCCCGTAAAGCAAAAACAAATCACTGATTTCTCCTTGTCCCCTCCACAACACTGTATGGAATACCACAGAATTCCCATCTAGGGGCCGCTGTGTGGTGGGAGGAGCGGAAGTTGAGGAAGTCGTGTAATAGATCGGGGGAATGAAGAGACTGTGTTTGTTCCAACGGCGCGCCGCTCCGGAGTTCAGGAAGCGTCAATAAAACCATCCTGATACTAAACACACGCACTCACTGGCGCGCACTTATCAGGACTGTGACTCAAGACTGGATCAGGACACTTTTGCATTATGCATTCGGACTGCAGGCTGCTGGGATGGACGCGTCGGTAATGGTGGGCAGAGGGACCGGAGGGGCTGCGGTCTTCATCCTGATCGTCTTCATCTTACTCCTCGGTGCCAGAAGCTCGCGGGCGCAGAAGGGTACGTGATCTTCAGAGGGGGTCAAAGTTTTAGGAGTTGCTAATCTTCTTATAAACTGCTTCACCACCCTTGGGTTTAGGACTGATTGCGGTTTCGCAACAAACTCTTGGGGTGATGTGGTGTAGCCCTAACGTTAGCGGTTAAAGACCCAGACTGGTAATTGAAAGTTTATTGGTTCAAATCCGGCCTCGGTTCATTAATATCACACATCGTTTGTTTGATCAAGACACCAGTAACTAAGCAATGCACGTAACTAGAACTGACCCTGTAATTAGTTCACTGGGTAAACACCTCAGCTCAATAACGGAGTGTGTGTTGTATACTTGCATTGTTGCTGTGCTACAGCTGGAGCAACAGAAGAACGTGATGACGCAACACGCTGCCCCCGCTGCTTTCCCAAATATGTAGTGAGTTCATTTTATACAATATATTTCTTATTCAGTGCTTTAAGTGTTTGTAGGTCAATTTCTTTGTTCTATTGTAATTCATGACGGTTTACTTGTCTTCAGTAAGTTTGTTTTTACATAGGCTAGTATTTTTTTTTGTTGAGATATTGGAATTGGTAACAAGAATTATGAAACTTTGATTGGATAAAAATCCTATGTTAAGCTATATCATTATTGTGACGTGGGGGCCTGCAGTAAGTCATAGCCCCGGGGCCCATTGAGGTCTTAATGCGGCCCTGGCTGTCCAGTGTCAAGCTGTTGCATTTAAACAGAGAAACTAACAGCACACTTATTGCAGATATAGTCCTTCTTAAGCAATCTGAGCTTAACTCAATAAGTAGTTTTACACATAAGGAAACAGCGCTTTTGAGAAATATCATATAAATTATGCCCACTCACATGAGATGAAGACAACATATAGGCCTATATCAGTCTACTAGAAGAAGAAAAAAACAGTTTGATTCTACATGAAGTGAGGTGCCCCAAATGGGTGCAGCCATGTTGATATCACATGACCAATGAGTTCAAAATCATCATGAATGAGTACTTATTGTGAATTTTATCCTCCAAGCAAATAATAAAAATTCCATTATCAATTTTATAGGGGCATGTTGTCACAATAGGTTTAAGTTCAAGTGTCATTATTCTTGGGTAATAATGGTGGACATTTTCAAAAAAAAAAAAAATTGTAGTCAAGACTTTCAGGTTTTTGTTTACACAGAAACTGGATTCTAAATATATACCTACCCTAAGAAATGTAGTGAGGAATACGTGTGACAACTAGCCCCAGTTTCAGTCCCACTTTATATTAGGTGGCCTTAACTACTATGTTCTTGCATTTAAATTAATCATTTGGTACAATGCACTTATTGTGTACATGCATGTTTTTTCATTGTACTTTTTTTTTTTAAATACCTATATGTAATTACATCTGTAATTAATTTCTGTTTTTACATTTATAATTACACTGTTGACCCATTCCTTACACCTTAACCACCCTTAAACCTACCCATACCACCAAACCTGTC